TAACGTATGAGTTTGCTTATATTATTATTTTGATGATACTATAGAATATGATGTTATTTTAAGAATTGTTAATGTGAAAGGATTTTTAAAAATAGTCTAGATATTTTTGGTATTACTCTAACCTTAACAAGGATGCAAAAGAATGACAAACATACATCCTCCAATATTGAAGAAATTTTTATATAAAGCATTACCAAACTTGCTCTGCATGAGGAAAATGAGATACCAATATCATTTGTGTTGTATCTACAAATAATTCAAGTTTGTCGTCATCAGAGGGAGTAATTCATCAAGGGGAGGATTCAACAATTTTCTACATATAGGACATATGCGTGTTGTACTCTTTTCCCTTTGACTATGTTTTTGTCCCACCAGGTTTTTCTATCAAGATTTTAACGAGGCAACATAAGTGCGTCCAACACCATATCAATGATCTAGAAGAATGTTGTACTCTTTTACATTTGCTTAGGTTTTGTCCCATTGGTTTTTCCGAGCAAAGTTTTTAATGAGGCAACTATGTCAATTTTATGGCCGACATCCAAGGGGGAGTGTTGTAGATGTATGAGTTGGTGGATGACCACAATACCTTTTAGCATTCACTCCTTGTAATTCTATGCAACCTATACATTAAATACCACCGTTATGGGCTAGTAATTTATGAGTTGTTAATGTCTTCTTATCACTATAAACCTATAAATAAAGAGGTCTTACCAGGATAGATATAGAAGTTGTCTTTCTCTACTTTCCAATTCTCTCTACAATTTTCCCTTAATTATATAACATAATTTGAATTTACCTAACCCTTCCTGTCTATGCCATTCTTATATTGGGTTATTATCAAATCTATGAAAGCCTGACCAGAATTAATGCATAAAAGAAATCCAATCTCAGATAGCTGCCACGCTTCAACTCGGAACTTGTTAATTCAAGGGATTCGAATTTAGGACCTTATATAATGAAATGAAAGTATGGCTACATAGACTATTACCAAAATAATAAATAAAAAGTTAGTGCCCATTTGAATTTGACAACCATACACAGATAAAATCTATACAATGCACAGAACATCATTTTGGCAATTGAAACGTAAGATGTATATTTCAACTTCATCTTCAACCGAACGACCATAGATACAGTGGTGTATGCGACTGTGGGTCTACAAATTACACAACAGCTTGTCCTAACAAACAGCTGGCCTCAGACTCGAGATTTAAACCATCAATGTCAAGACAAAATAATGAAATAAAAGGTATGCCACCACTGGGCGTAAAATTCATATTTACACATGTTCGTCTTCTAAAAGATGCCCTTGTACAAGCTCGTTAGCCTCGTTCAAAAGGGAGACCAAACTACAAAAGAAAATTACATCATCTTCCTACAAAATAGAAACAAAATAGGCTCCCAACATCTCAAGCATAGGTCATCACCTCCACCCCCATATGAGATACACAACAATGACAACTGTCAGAATCATGCCTGCATACTTGATCGACTGATCGACATGGTTCCGCCTCTCAATGAGCTTCAATACAGAGTTAGAGAGACCCACTGTGTTCAGGACATCCAGTCCTTTTCGTTGTGCACTCTGAAACAAGTCAACAGAGGATTCACCATCATTTCAACAAGCATTAGTAGCAACAAACATGTAATGCATCACTAACTGTTATGTATCAAACAAATTCTATAGCTATTGGCTTTTTGGATTTCTTTTTCTTTTTACCCGAATCAATTTCCAATGACCTGACTTCCAATTGCTACAAAATTAATTCTAAATGGAAAGATAGAAGATTAAAAATTCAAAAAAAAAAATAAAAAAACTCATTAAATTAAGTGCAAATATTGTAACAATATTAAGGATTTAAAGATTTGATGTGGACCAACCTTCTCATTTCTTTAAACAATATATATATTAGGTTAGATGTCATCAATACAGTGAAGTGCCCGAGGTCAGTGAGTTAAGCCACTGGAATTCTCTTGGTATATCTAAGTATTGTTAGAGTTCTTTTTCAATTTTATTTTGAGGCAATTGAGGATTCCAATAATCATCAATGTATCAAAGGGCTCAAGGTCAAGCCACCTGAGGTCTCTTGGTTACAATACATCATATCTTTAATCCTACAACCAGGGAAGTGCTATATTATATCGAAGTATTTTCTCTGTATGGATGGGTGGTAAGATTGTAGTTTTCAGTGTGTGTTTCATGTAGAACTTAGTTGCAGGGTATTTATGATAGTTGGTGACTGATAGACTTCTGTTATGCATTGAGAGAGAAAATATTGGTTTCGGTTATCCTAATTTGATCATTGTTTTAGTTCCCTAGTCTCTCTACTTCCTCGCTATTCTCTCTCTTTTCCTGCGTCGCATATACTCATCTAAAAGGATTGCCCTAGTTATGAATCATATCCTGCCTTTCGACTGTTGAAAACATTAAAATCTCAAGCGTGAACTCAACCAATTTTCTTACAGTCCACAACTTTCCTATCGTAGTAATTGGAATTTGGTATACAACCTGAGTAACTATTCCTTGTGCGCAATATCAAAGAAGAGCTACCATTAACTGTAAGCTTATTAATGAATGTTTTAACTATATTCAACAAAAAATCGCAATTTCACTATCCTTTTTGTTTCAATAATTGGTGCAAAGTGAGGTGCATAACAGTTAACACAAATATGGGTGATACCTTTAGCCAATCCCTTTGTTCTGCATATTTCCTGAGAATAATTTCCCCAGTAGCACTGGCTTCTTCAAGCATGCGAGAAGAACTACGAACTGACACCCTTGCTTGTGCCTCATCATCGAAGATTCTCAAAACATGAGCACCCTCCCCATTCTACATCATTAGACAACGGCATAAAACAAAAGGCATACATCAAAATGATGCAATAAACAAAAAGTAAATGGGTTGAAAATTGCATACAGCTCTTCCAAGCAGCTCTGCTCTCTCTCTGGCTTCTTGGGCCCTCTTCTGATTCCTCAAATTATACTTATCCAGACTTTCTTTCAAAGACTGAGCCTCTTCCACTATTTGTTCTACTTTTCTGCATTACAAGAAGCAAAATATGATCCAGTTAAAGAAACCCAATTACAATTACAACCACAATACACAAAAATGACAAAACCCCACCTCAATGCTCAACGAATTGATGAGGGAAAAAAAAACTATTCCAAGTACAATTATAATATACAAAAATGACACAACACCAATTCAAGGCTCAAGGAATTAATGAACAAAAGAACCAAGTCCAACTATAATTAAATGCAAAATGACAAACCCAAATCACGGTTCAAGGGATCAATGAAGAAAAAAAAACCAACACACCAACCTTTTCCAGAGATCGCGTTGAGATTTGGCGCCAACAGATCGCCAGAGGCGGTCCATCTCGGAGCAGAGGGACTGGATCTGAGAAATGTCTCTTTTGACAGACGTGGAGAGGTCCGGGGAGTCGATGCCACCTGCATTCTCCAATCTCTCCAGCTTCTCAAGGCCATCTCTTGTTCTTAGCAACAGCTTCTTGGCGCTCTGATATATCTCTGATAACGTCCCTCCTCCCATTTCCACTGACATTGCCATTGCAATTGTGATTCCGATTAGCAATCTTTCCCGCTTTCTTTCTCTCTTTCTGGGTTTCACAGCAGAATTCAATTGAACTGAATTTCGATTGATTTTGGTAACTACAGATAGGTAGTTTAATTCAGGGGTTTATGTATGAGAGAAAATAACCACAAAGAGCACCTCCAAATCAGAGAAAAGAACCAACGGACAACATACAAAATCCAGACCCACAATCCCAATTGAAAAGAGAAATAAAGCACAACCTGTCAAACTGAAAATTAAATGAAATCAGCAGCTAGTACAAAACTAATATCACATCCCCACCTTGCTTGCAAATGGCTGGTCTATCTAGATTTTATAAAACAGAGAACCTGCACACACATCCCAACCTAAGTTAGAGACCTAAACGCAAAATAAAAATTGAAAAACTCAAAGCCTAAATAATAGGAAAAGCAATGAAGAGTTGGAGCAAGTTTAATCTCATAAAAATAAGCAAGCATTTATTAAGAAACCTCAGGATTCTGTCAAAGTCAAAGAGTATGACGGCATACAAGCAATAAGCCTTGAGAACATTTGCTTCAATATTTCAGTTATTTGGTGAGTTTTGAGTGAAATTTTAATCACTAAAACTATGCAACACTCCAACCACTCCATTTATAGTATGAACTACGAACTTGAGGTGACCAATTGAATTCGGATTGAGCCTAAAACTTGGGCAATATCATAATATGGTGGGAGGAGTGGGTTTTTATCACAAATGATCCCTATGTTTGTCAAATTATCACTTTTAGTCATTTATATTTTTTATAACATTATTAGTCTTTTATGTTACACCTCGCACATCAAAATTGTCCTGCAGTAAAATTCAATAAAAAATTATATTAGATTGCTGATGTAGAATATAAGTAGAGCCCACATATCTAACGCAATAACACCTTGTGAATTAACTAAATTATTATTATTTTTAAATAGTTTAAAATTCATAGAAAATTAGAAATGATCTATTTGCACCAAAGTGCTCACCAAGCTTTGCCCAAAATTGGCGGTGATTATGGCTTTGGTTTTTTCACCAAAAGCAAAGCAACCAAGAGCTCCAAATGATCCATACCATAAAGCAATGAAAGCCACAACACAAGGCCATAGAAGAAAATAGCCACACCAAGACCATAGAAGAAACAGAGAAGTCTCCAAAAGCATGTAGAGCTGGCCTACTTTGCAGTAAAATTATAACATCCTCCACCATCACAACCCCCATAGCTCCAAGATCAACAAATCAGCGAAAATGCTCAAAGAGGCCAAATGGATTAGCGTGGGAATAGAATTCAATCCCAGCTGAAAGGGAAAACAACCCCAAAGGTATAAGGATTGGGATGAGAGCTTGTGAGGTATGGCTAGAAGTGGAGTGTCTTCTTTGTCAAACACCTCCTAGCCGCCATTATGACCTAATCAGATGCTAACAATGGCGGTGGGTTCTCTGTACCCAGGCATAAACCTCACAGCCACCTCCTCACCTATCAAATCAACCACCTTTTCTGACCACACCTCCACCGCCACAACTACCTCATCTCCTTCTCCCCAACCCTCTCCGACTACGACTTTGTAGTCGTCGACAGGGAGCACGGCCATGGCATCATGTCCCAAGCGCTCCCAACCTCCACGCCTTAGCCGCTGCTTAAACCCTGCATTCTTCACTTGCCCGAGACCTCCGCAGCTTGGGCCAAGAAAGCCCTAATTTGGGCCCACAGGGCACTGTTTGTGCAAATAATCTCACAGGGAGAATATTCGCTTCTAGATCCTTCAACCTTCGATCTTCCTTCTCTCTCCTCCTCGATTCATGTAAAAAAGACTGGAGTAAATAGACCACACCCGGGGGGTGTTGGCCAAAGGCCCTCCGATGCCTAAGTTAGTTCAAGTGTTTGTAGAAAAACAATAGCTAAGCAAAGGGTACGGAGTTATATGTATGGTGTGAACGGGCGGGTGGGGTGGCAGGAGCCGTGTGGAAAAAATATGGAGAGTGGAGAGGGAGAGGGAGAGAGCTTTGGGTATTTTTCTCGGGTATTAGGAGTAGGTTTAGATGTACCTTGAATGATGAATGAAGTCGTCTATTTATAGGAGCCTCGAGGCTAGGGTTTCGTAGAGAATATGATGAGTTTATTCTCTACCCAAATTCGTAGGGATCGAGTCGGACTTGATTATATCTCTTTATTGAAGATAATATCTAATTTAATGATATTATCTTCTCTTTATGAAGATAATATCTAAATTAATGATATTATCTTCTCTTTATTAGGATAATATATGAATTTATGATATTATCTTATTAAATAAAGATAATATCCTATTAATTCATATATTTATCCCTATTAATTAATTGGTCAGATAAACTGGTTCAATTAATTAATTTAAGAGATAATCTTCTTTTCCACGTGGCGTGCCGTGATTGGAGACGAAAATATTTGCTCCCACAAATGCCCCTCCAGCTTCTGCATGGCGTTTGTGTGGCATGTAGGAGATGAAATTATTTTTTCCGGGCTCTCCAACTTTGTCTGGGCTTTATTCTGTGAGTTTGACTCCTTTTGCAAATAGAATTCCCAATTGGTGTAGGCTTCTGACTGTTGTTGGAGGTGGATTCCCAGTAGGAATGAGCTTGTGATTCCTTCTTGACCCGGGTTGTCCAACTTGTATAAATACAGGGCTTCTCTTCACTCTTTCTCACATCACAAACTTAACTTCTCTACTTTCTAGCTTGAGAAAGATCTTGGAGAATTTGTACTGCTTGTCGAAGAGAGGAGTTGCCGTGCATCCCAAAGTAAGTCGAGCATGTAAATTTTTTCTTTGTCTTCATTGAGTAAGAAACCAAAGCTCCCTTCGGCTAAGAAGACCCAAGTAGGAGCTATTCCCACGTCATCTGCCAGGGTTAAACATCTTGTTGGTGTATATAGCAAGAAGATTGGCGGTATGCGCAACATTAAGGGATGTTCTCCTTAAGCTTCTTGCTGATGAGTTTGGAGATCATGATCTGCTCCACGAACTAGTCCGTGCGCAGTCTAGCTCACTCGTTAAGAAGCAAAGAGGTGCAGATGCTTATCTCCAAAGTTCGGGTTGTCTGCATTAGTCGAAGAGTGGAAGCTGATATAGGGCGGTCTGCTCATCCATCCAACCATCATGTTTCAATTGCTGAGTCACGAGTAGTCAAGCGTGGAGTGGCTTCGTCGTCACCAATTCCTTTGGAAGCGAGGTTGGTAGAGGCTAGGAAAGCAAGAAAGTCATTTGCTCAAGCGAAGGGTTTTTTTGCAATGTCAAGGGCTGATCTCAAGGTGGACAAGTCCACCTCTGCAGGAGCTGCAGGCCTGTCTGATCTGCTCAAGATGAACTTTCTGTTAAGTTCATCCACTTGTGTTGAGTTGGTTGATCAAATCCGTTAGGCTGGCGATCTTGGTACTTTCTCAAGTCTTTCTTAGGAAAAACAAAGGGAAAGCAACATTTCATCTCCTTCGAAAAAGAATTGGTGGTAGACGTGGTGGATCAGGCAAGTGGAGCTGCTGAGAGTGTGGCTGATCAGGCGAATGCTGAAGAGTCCGCAGATCAGGGATCTCCTGCTGGCGTCTCGGAGTAGATGAAGACTCATTTATTTCTTTTCAGCTTTTGTAGTATGCTCTTTGTTTAGAATAATTGGTCTTGCTTGACCATCTTCTTTTTGTTGAACTTGGCCAGTTGGTCACTTTACTATGGAAATTTCAGTTATTTTTTCAACTTCAATTTTCATGTTGTCTTATGAACTGCTTGAGTAACCGGCTAGTGTCTTGGTTGTACATTTTCCTTAGGATTTTGGCAAAAGCCAGGGTCCCCCTTGAGGGACTCCGGGCATATTCTGAATTTTCCAGAGAACACTTAAAAACGCTTCTGGTCGTTGCCCTGCATCTCCCTTAGGACGCTGCTTATGGACAACTGTATGATTAACCTGCCCCCTTTAGGAAACGGATAGGAACCTGGATATCTCCCTTGGGAAATTCCTGGCGCACCCTGCGGCTCCCTTAGGATGCTGCTTTGCGGGCTGCGTCTCCAGAAGGACGCTTCTGGTTGTCGCCCTACGTCTCCTTTAGGATGCTTTTTATGGGCAACTGTTTGATTATCCTGCCCCCTTAGGAAATGGATAGGAACCTGGATATTTCCTACAGGAAGCATGGTGACCTTCTTTTAAGAAATTTCTGGTGCACCATGCGTCTCCCTTAGGACGTTGCTTTGCTGGCTGCATCTCCCGAAGGACGCTTCTGGTCGTCGCCCTGCATCTCCCTTATGACGCTTTTTATGGGCAACTGTATGACTATCTTGCTCTCCTTAGGAAACGAATAGGAACCTGGATACTTCCCTTATGAAATTTCTGGCGTACCCTGCGTCTTCCTTAGGACACTTCTTTGCGAGCTGCATCTCCCGAAGGACGCTTCTAGTTGTCACCCTGCGTCTCCCAAAGGATGCTGCTTATGGGCGACTGTATTTTGCTGTGGCACATTCTGAAATTTGCAGTAGTTGCTTCTCTTCTTCAGAAATACAGTACTAAATCATCTGCTGGGGACTAAACAGGTAGGAGGAAGTGTCATGGATAGTATCTTTGGAGGTGGTAGGCGTTCCATTGTCGCGGAATCTCCTTCCCTTCCATGGTGTCAAGCGTATAGCTTCCTTTACCCCCGGACCGACTGATTACATAAGGGCCTTCCCAATTGGGTTTCATCTTTTTAGAACCTTGTCTTTGTGCAGTGATGAAGGCCTTTCTTATTACAAGGTCACCTAGTTGAAACTGTTTGACCTTGGCTCTTTTGTCGTAGTAAGACTTCAACCGCTATTGATAGGAGGCGACTCGGACAATGGTCTTCTTGAGTTTGCCTTCAAGTAAGTCAAGGTTGAGTCTCCTCTGCTCGAAGTTCTGCTCAATACTGCCCACTTCAATGTCTATAAAGGGGACAGTGACGTGAGGAGGAATGATCACTTCTGTTCCATAGGCAAGGGAAAACGAGGTTTCGCCAGTTGATCTTCGCTTGGTGGTGCGATAAGCCCATAGTACTCTAGGGAGCTCATCTACCCATTTTCCTTCGGCGCCTTCTAATCTCTTCTTTAGACAGTCCAATATATTTTATTGGATGCCTCGGCCTGACCGTTGCCCTGAGGATATCTCGGGATAGAGAGATGCTGCTTGATGCCATACTTTTTGAAGAAGGCGGTGATCTGCTTGCCGATGAATTGTGAGCCATTGTCGGTAACTAGCGATTGTGGGTAGCCAAACTGACAGATAATGTTTCTCCAGATAAATCGTTCCACATCGGCTTCTTTAGTAGAGGATAGAGCTTCGGCCTCGATCCATTTAGTAAAATAATCAGTGGTGACAATCATAATTTCTTTCTTGGCAGGTGCTGTTGGCATGGGGCCTACTAAGTCGATGGCTCATTGCATGAAAGGCCACGAACTGTTCTGCGCATAGTAGACTTCGGCAGACATGTTAGGAACTGGTTTGTACTGTTGGTAGTGATCACATATTTTGACATATTCAGTAGAGTCATGGCGCATAGTGGGCCAGAAATAGCCTACGCTTAGAGCCTTCTGGGCAAGTGACCTGCCCCCAGAATGGTTGCCATACTCGCCGTCGTGAATTTTACAAAGGACCTCAAGCATTTGAGAGTATTTTATGCAAGTAAGATGAGAGCTGGAGTATGATCTGCGAATGAGCTTGTCGCCCTGCATGTAGTATCTCGCGGCTTTTTGCTGGACCTTCCTAGCTTCGGACTTATCTGTTGGCAGATTTCCATTCACTAAGTAGTTGATTATGGGATCTTGCCAGCTAGGGTCTTCATCGATCTGCATTAAGTCGATTGGCTCTATTTCTTCCATGCTTGGCCGGTCAAGGTGTTCGACCGGGATGGAGCATCTGAACTGAGTCTCCAATGCTGATCCTAGGCTCACCAACGCATCTGCATGAGTGTTCTCTGTCCGTGGAACTTGTTGGATGGTGAAAGTAGGGAATTCTTTCAAAAGTCCTTGGACTTTGTCGAGGTACTAGACCATTCTTGGATGTTTTGCCATGTACTCGCCTAAGGCTTGATTCGTGATCAGCTGAGAGTTTGAGTATATTGCCAATCTCTTGATCGACACTTCATTTGCTAGGCGCAGTCCTGCGAGCAATTGCACATATTCTGCCTCTTTGTTTGAAGCAGAAAAGCCTAGTGTGATGGCTTGTTCTAACAAAGTTCCGTCTGTGGTGATTATGACGACGCTTGCCCCTGCTCCTTTGTGATTTGATGCTCCGTCTACATGCAATTGTCACATGTCGTTAGGTAGGTTCGAATCAGTGGGGGAGGTGTTGTCTGCTTTTTCATTGCTTTTCATGACCATATTCTCTTCATTGGCTGTTGGAGTAAACTCTACAACAAAATCTGCTAAAGCTTGGGATTTTATATCAGTCTTCGACCGGTAGAGGAGGTTGTATTGACTGAGTTCGATAGCCCATTTCATGAGTCGCTGAGAAGCGTCGGGGCTGTGGAGGATCGATCTCAAAGGAAATTCTATCATAATAATTATCCGGTGTGCTTGATAGTAAGGCTTTAGTTTTCTCGCAAAAATCACAAGCGAAAAAATGAGCTTCTCCATTTTTGGATAGCGAGTCTTTGTATCGAGGAGAGCTTTTGAAGTGTAGAATACTGGATGTTGTGCCCCCAGCTCTTCTCGGATGAGAGCTGAGCTGACAGCTGAGTCGGACACCGCCAAGTAGATGTACAAGTTTTCGCCTGGTATCGATTTTGAGAGTAAGGGAGGTGAAGTGAGGTAGGTTTTCCAATTTTGAAAAGCTACTTCACACTCGTCATCCCACTTGTCTTTGTGTCCTTTCTTCAAGGCTTTGAAGAATGGCCTACACTTGTCGATAGATCTTGAGAGGAATCGGTTGAGAGCCGCCGCCCTACTCGTTAGACTTTGTATCTTATTTGTTTTGGCTTCATGTCGAGTATAGCCTTGATTTGATTTGGATGTGCCTCAATTCCTCTTTGGGTGACTAAGTATCCAAGGAATTGGCCAGACGAGACTCCAAATGTGCATTTGCTCGGGTTCAACTTCATGTTGTATTTTCGGAGTAGGCTGAATGCCTCGACATGGTTCTTGATGTGGTCTGCTCGCTCGGGGGCTTTAACTAGCATGTCGTCTACGTAGACCTCCATAGTTTTGCCGATTTGCTCCTTAAAAATTTTGTTCACCAGACTTTGGTAGGTTGCTTCGGCGTTCTTCAGCCCAAAGGGCATGACTTTGTAGCAATATGTACCTCTTTCGATGATGAAGGAGGTCTTTGCCTTGTTGTCTTTATGCATCATGATTTGGTTGTAGCCGGAGTAGGCGTCCATGAAGCTTAGCAATTGATTGCCGGAAGTTGAATCGACGAGCTGATTAATTCTTGGCAGTGAAAAGTTGTCTTTAGGGCATGCCTTGTTGAGGTCGGTGTAGTCGACGCATACTCTCCACAGGCGTTTATCTTTCTTTGCTACTAGAACAACGTTCGCCAACCATTCTGCGTAGGAGACTTCTTCAATGAAATCGGCAACTAGAAGCTTGTCGATCTCGACTTCAATGATGGCAACCCGCTCGGGGGTGAAGTTGCGTCTCTTCTGCACTACAGGCATGATAGTTGGGTTGACGTGTAGGTGATGACAGATGATCTGGGGATCGATGCCAAGCATGTCGGATGACGACTATGCAAATACGTCTTTGTTGTTCTGGAGGAAGGCTGCAAGCTCAGCCTTTTCCTCCTGGATTAGGCTCTAGCCGATCCGCGCTTTTCTCTAGCTTGTCAGGATCAAGGGGTACTAGCTCAATGTCCTCTTCGGGCTTCCATCCTTCTTCAGGAGAGACCTCCGGATGGATTCCGTCGACTTGATCCTGATTCTTTGATTGCTATTGAGAAGTAGTTATTCCCTTTCCCTTTTGGTCAGCTCGGCTGTCAGGAACGGGATCTGCTTTCTCCTATGGTAGTTTTACTCTCTTTAGATCTGCCTGATTCACATGGAGGAACTATGTTTGCTTGCCTTTCTTCAGCCCTTGAACTGAGCATTTCCTCACCATTGCCTGATCGCTATTGATTTGGCCGATACCGACCCCAGGGATTGGGTAGCGAATCTTCTGATGTGTGGCGGAGGTGATGGCGTTGATCTTGGCGATCCATGGTCTACACAGAATGCCATTGTAGGGTGAGACCTCATCAATGACCATGAACGTTTGCGAACTGATTACAGTTGGGGAGTAGACGTCGAGATCTATCGTGCCCACGGTAACCGTTGTTGTGCCATTGAAGCCAGTCAGCGACTTGGCTGATTTATTGATCTTTGTCTCCAAGCCCATCTGTTGGATGACCGCCAATTGTTGGATGTTGGCTGCACTGCCCTCGTCCACATGGATTCGGTCAACCATGGCCTGAGCAATTTGAATGCTGATGACAAGGGCGTCATTGTGTGGTAGATCAAGGCTAATTAGATCTTTCTTCTGGAAGCCGATCACGAGATTGTCTTCTGCCAGTGGGAGACTAGTGGAGACCTGAGAGATCATGATGGCCTGTTTGATCTTTCTCGTCTTTTCTTTGTTGGTCAGTCCGGACTCCTCGGACTCTGCTAGGATTATGTTAATCCTCATGACCTTTTGGGGTGGCTCCTTAGTGGTTTCGCGGTCCTCTATCTGCTGGATGGCCTGCTTCGTGATGAACTCCGTGCAGTGACCTTCTCTCACGAGTTCTTCGAGGTGTGCTTTCCAAGCAAAGTAATTATTCGTATTGTGCCCATGTGTCGCATGAAAGGCACAATACTTTCTGGTATCCCTCTTGTCCGGATCTCCTTTCAAGGGTGGCGGTCTTTTTACCCAAGGTTTGTCCTTCACTTAGGCTAAAATTTGATGAATAGGGATGAAGAACTTGGTGTAGTTCTCTTTTGTCACAGCATCTCCTTGTGGGTGCGACTTGCGTTGTCCTTGCTGCCAAGCCTGTCGCTTTTTTGGTCTACCCGCTTGGTCGGCCGATCTTCCTGCTCGGTGGACTTCTTCGCGGCAATTCGATCATCATCCCAGAGCATGTAGCGTTCCGTGGTCGAGAAGACCTCTGCCAAAGTCTGGCTAGAGTAATAGTCAGCTCGCGGTATAAGTCGTGTTCTACTAGAAGACATTTCTTAAATGCAGAGGATGCGATTTGGTCATCGCACCCTACGATGTTGGCCTTTTCTGCTTTAAACCTCTTGATGTAATCTCGAAGGGATTCGTCGGGCTTCTTGCGCATGTTGAACAGATGATCAGGGTTCTTCTTGATCGTCCGATAAGAAGTGTATTCTTTAGTGCAGACGTAAGTAAGCTCTTTGAAGCTGCTGAACAACCCAGATGGCAGGTTATGGAACCAATCCTAAGCTGCTCCTCGCAAAGTAATTGCAAACACCTTGCACATTAGCGCGTCTTTGGCTTTGTAGAGGATCATAAGGCTCTTGAAATGCTTTAGATGACTTTCAGGATCGGAATCGCCTTTGAAGCATGTGAAAGACGGGCGTTGAGAATCGTTTCTGGGGAGCAGCCTGCTCGATTTCGGCGGTGAACGGTGAGAAGTTTGCTCGGTCTACCTCAACACGCAGTGCATCTTCGAATTTTCTGTCAATCTTTAAGTCTCGAAGTCAGTTATTCACAAGCTTCTCAACGTCTTCTGCACACATGGCTGGTCGGTCACGTCGATGAGCTTTACGATTCGGGCGAGACTGAGTAACTTCCTCGTTGGTGGACTGCGCTTGCGAGGGATTTTTTGTAGCAGAACGCCTTTCTTCATGGTCCTCATTGTAAGGGTTATCAAGTTGGCCTCCCTGGGAGTCTAGCCTTTCATGAATATTTCTCTGCGAGCAGGCAGTAGAGCGTCTTTCTTCACGATCCCAGTTGCAATGATTGTCAGTTTGACCTCCCTGGGAGCCTAGCCTTTCATGACCATTTCCCTGCGGACCTAAGCGAGCATGGATGTCAGGTCTTGGGCCTAGTCTATCGCGCACACTGGTCCTTAAATTCAATCTGGATGGGAGACTTCGTCTACTCTGAGTGTGGCTTGCAGATGCTTGAGACATGTCGGTAAGTTGATCGTGTTGTTGTCCATCTCCTTGTCTGCTTACTCGACCTGCTTGGTTCCCATCGAACTACTTATCGGTGCATTCGTCCATCCTTCTCTCTTCGCCCTGTTGTCCAAGGCCAAGGTTTTGAGCCAAGTTTATTTGATTCAGGAGCTGCCTCATCAAATTATTTTGGTCGTCCATTCTTTGAGTTAGCTGGTCAACTCTCAAATTAAGGTCTACTTGACTTCGTGGATCAGGAGGAGAGAAATGTGTGGAGCCCAATTGCACACTGGCTAGGGTTTTATTGGTTGTGTACGTAGGAGCGTGCATCGAGCGTGGAGGCAATGGAGGGAACCCTTGAAGTTGCTCCAATATTGGGCCAAAGTCGGCGGTGGTAGTAAGCCCACCTTGATGGGATGTTCCTCCATGCCCGGCGGCGGTGCTATGAAGGTGGCTAGATCTAGCCACGGGACCTTGAGATGGTACGACGACGATAGAGGCCAGCCTGCGGGTTCCCGTCACACAGGGTGGCTGCCGTGGTGCGGCAGCTAGGGTTTGCTGCGGGTTCGCTATGGCAAGAGGCGGTGGAGCCGCCATGTTGATTGCGGGATCATGGGAGGAGCAGCTTTGGGCTGTCACGGATTGAGCCATCGCGGCTGTTTTGCTCCTCATGCGCTTGCTTCTAACCATGGTCGTTTGGAAGGCTTCGGTGGATTGGAAAATAGGAGGAACAAATTCTTTGAGCACGCGTTGAGTATAACTTGTGCTCTCAATGAAAGCACAAAATGTTTGTGCAAATAATCTCACGGGAGAATATTCGCTTCTAGATCCTTCAACCTTCGATCTTCCTTCGATCTCCTCCTCAGTTCCTGTAAAAAAGACTGGAATAAATAGACCACGCCCGGGGGGTGTTGGCCAAAGGCCCTCCGATGCCTAAGTTAGTTCGAGTGTTTGTAGGAAAACAATAGCTAAGCAAAGGGTACGGAGTTATACGTATGGTGTGAACCAGGCGGCCGGAGCCGTGTGTGGTGGCCAGAGCCGTGTGGAAAAAATATGGAGAGTGGAGAGGGAGAGGGAGAGAGCTTCGGGTATTTTTCTCTGGTATTAGGAGTAGGTTTAGATGTACCTTGAATGATGAATGAAGTCGTCTATTTATAGGAGCCTCGGGGCTAGGGATTCGTAAAGAATATGATAAGTTTATCCTCTACCCAAATTCGTAGGGATCGAGTCAGACTTGATTATATCTCTTTATTGAAGATAATATCTGATTTAATGATATTATCTTCTCTTTATGAAGATAATATCTAAATTAATGATATTATCTTCTCTTTATTATGATAATATATGAATTTATGATATTATCTTATTAAATAAAGATAATATCCTATTAATTCATATATTTATACATATTAATTAATTGGCCAGATAAACTAGTTCAATTTATTATTTTAAGAGATAATCTTCTTTTCCACGTGGCGTGCCGTAATTGGAGACGGAAATATTTGCTCCCACAAATGCCCCCCCAGCTTCTGCATGGCGTTTGTGTGGCATGTAGGAGATGAAATTATTTTTTCCAGGCTCTCCAACCATGTTCCTCATGATCGAATCTTCCCAAGGCCGCCAAGGAGGTCGTCTCATCTATAGTATAGTAAGTATGGTTAGCATTTCTGCACATTTAGTTAAGATCTGTATTGTGGATAAGGGTGTTAGTGTTGTTGCATTTGAAGAGGGTCAGATTGTATGTGAATAATACATAAGAGAGAAGGGCTAGGAAGACTCAAATCTTTGAAAATTGCATCATTGCAAGAATTTGTTTTCAAGCGTTGCTGAAGCTCTTTGTCTATGACAAAAATCCTATTTAGTACCCTGGTGTCAAATTCGTGCTAGTATCCTTCCTTTTTCAGCTGGATCCTCGAATTATTGCGATCAAAACAATCAACTGTGAACAATGGTCTTTGCAGGGTTCAAGGTGGGTGCACTGTACTGTGGTGCATGTGGGTGATTTTCCAGTGGGGTTGGAGTGGTTGTAGTGAGGGTGGCTTTGTGTTGGGTGGTGGTTGTGGTATGATGGTGAAGTTAGAGGAAGAAGGGGAGAGGTCGAGAGAGAGACGAAGAACAAGAGATTTTTCAATATTAATTTTTTTTTTAAACTGTAAATATATTATTTGAATTTTTATTAATATTTTATTTCACTTAAGCTAAAAAAAAGGATGTACATGACACATCATCATTTGTGGTAAAAAATACTAAAATATCCCCACGTCACGCCATCAAAATTGACGGAGTTATGAATGGAGATAATAGGAGGTAAAATGAAACACAAAACTATGATTAAGGGGGTTAAGTACGCCACTTTAACTTTCGAAGGGCAAAGTGATATTTAACCAAAGTTTCAGGAAACACCACAGTAAATAAGCTTATCAGTTATGATATTATAGTTTTATAATGACTTAATTACACCATTGCCCCATAAAACTTCGGTCAAATTTCACTTTGCCCCCCTCCCCCCCAAAACTCAAAATAGCCCACTTTCATCCCTTGATCAATTTGGTGACCAACTTTGTCCCATGCCGTCAACTTCATTCAAAAAGTCAGTTAACTTTGATGACATGGCAAGTGGAGCCCAACTCCACATATATAAAAATAATTTTTAAAATTTTTGGTTTTTTTAATGTTTTTATTTGTATTTTTAATTATTAGAATATTTAATTATACTTTTATCTATATGGAGGTGGGTTCCACTTGCCACGTCATCAAAATTAACAGACTTTTAGATGAAGTTGATGGCAAGGGGCAAAGTGAGTTACCAAACATCGATCAATGGTTGAAAGTGGGCCATTTTGAGTTTGGAAAGGCAAAGTGGGATTTGACAGAAGTTTCAGGAAGCATTGGTGTAATTAAGTCTTTCATAATTGTAGCATTACAAAGACAAGTAACAAATTTCATCAATTTCTTTCACGGTGTCAAGGGTACTTCTGTCAACTATTAATTTTTACCAAAATATTCTCGGGAATGGGCTGATTGGAATTCTTTTTTTACTATCCAATATTGAGCAAAAATGGATAGAAATACGCATGACGTCGTGAAAGAAATTGACGGAATTCATGACCTACCCTTAATTGAAATTACAAAGAAGAAAAGTGAAAAAGAGGTAAACTACGTGGACCAAAAGTTACGTTTAGCCTTATTTCTTCTCAACCTTTTTGCTGTCAAAGTGTTTGTGTGTGTGTGTGTGTTTCTTGGTTTTTTTTTTTTTTTTTTTGTTCTTGGGGTTTGGTTTTACCAAATAACATAAATGCAAATAAGGAGCATCTAAATTGTTTGCTTGTTTTGGTATCACTTAATTTTCATTGGGTCTTATATATGATAAATTAATAATAGGGATTTTTATAGAAATGTCGTCTGAACTTATATACGAGTTTCAATTTGTCAGTTTAAAGAGAAATTTAATAGAAATGTCTCCTTAATTTTTCAAAATCCATGATTTGTCATCTGACCATCCAATTTTTCATTTATTTTTAAGGGTATTTTAGTCTTTCCAATATGTAAACTCTCTTTTATAGGACCCTATTTTTGGCATACTTACTAAACAACACCTTCTTTTTTTTATACCAAGATTCCTTTCACCTCTTTTAACCCAAGCCTTTTGGATGGTTTTAACTCAAGCCTCCCCAACCCCATTAACAAATCACCCTCCCAGTGTCTCTACCACCAGAAGAGTCCCCCTCATGTCCCACCTAAAAAATTCCTCAAGACACCCAACCCTACCAATATACCATGGTAAAGGGCAAGAGTGAGATCTCGGATTCTACCATGGTGAAGCACAACAATGAGATCTATCCGAGGTTTGCGTCTTAAATTAAAATATAAAAAAACTCAGAACTTAAGAACAAAAAATGAAAACCAGATAAATCAATTCATCTGAAGAAAAAAAATTTGAAAATTAAGCTTGCCAAATGGAAGGTTGGAGAGTGCGGCTGCCCAGGCAAATTCCGAGCAAGATGAGGAGAGAATGGATAGAAGTAGCCGTTGAGGGAGGAGAGAATGCGAGAGAACCCACCGCACTCACACCTACTCACCCACCGCCACCCTTGTTAAAAATCCACCCCATCATCAACCCAGCCACTAAACCAATAAGGATGAGCAAGCAGCCCACCGATTTTTTTTATTTCTTTCTCATTTCTCCATCTCTTATCCTTTTCTTTCTCTCTCTTCATGCCGGAAACAATATAGATTGGTGACTCTACACTGAGTTTGAAGCCTCGCATTTCTCTCGCATCGTCATGGAGTACTACTGTTCTAGCGACGACCTGCACTATCTCCACCATAAACGACCAAACAAGAGCTTCTCTCTCGGCCATATTTTGTTACTGGCAGGTGACAATTGTGTGTTGTTCAGGAGTAAAAGTCTTGCATTGTCATTGAGTATTGTTCAAGAGTAAAAGTTTTGTTTTGGGGGTTTTAACTCCCTTTTCTTCATCTAAAAAGGTGTTTCAAAGAGGGTTTACATAGCTTTATAAATAATAAATTTAAAAATTACATACAGGAAAGACTAAAATACTCTTAAAATGGATGGAAAATTGGATGATGTTAAAGTTAGATAACAAATCATGGATTTTGAAAAACTAAGGTAACATTTCTCTTAAATTTTTCTTTAAGGTGATAAATTGAAACTAGTGGATAAGTTTAGGTGACATTTCTACAAAAATCCCTTAATAATATTCCAAGATAAAGTATATGTACCACTAGCAAAGGAAACCAAAAGGGATAACTTCGGATTTCTAATATATAGGCTTATTTACTGTAGTGCCTCTTGAAACTCCGGTCAAATCTCACTTGCCTTGAAAGTTAAAGTGATCTAGAGTGTCCTTTTGACCAAGATTTGGTGATTCACTTTGCGCACGCACGCCCCCCACCCAAGGGCAAAAATTAATGTGTTAAAAAATCTGTTACAAACGTCAACATGGCACAAATGGGACTCACCCTTTTGTTGACATGTACACTACAAACGTGCCACATGAGAAAAATAATAGGACAAACTACATAAAACCCCCTAAATTATAGGGTCATTTTCAAGTTCATACCCAATTTCAGAGACATTTATGAGTACATACTCAAACACCTAGAAACCCTACAAATTGCCCCCTCCGTTAGCCAAACCGTTAGGCAATCTGTTAAATGCTAACGTGGCGAATGTGGGTTCCATTTTTTAATGAGGTGGACTTACAAATGGACAAAAAAAATCATATAACTATAAAAAAAACCAAAAAAAAATCATTGTCCCTGACCCCCCAATCTCATCGTCCCCAACCCCATTCCAATTTCCCCACCCCCAACTCATCACCCCTACCCAGCCACCCAGCTAGCCCCACTGCGATCTCCCCCACCTCCTCTTTCGAAGTACCTCCCGCACCCCCGACATACCCCCTCATCCCCACCCTAGCTCTCCCTCTCTTTCTTTCTCTTCTTGTTTTTTCCACCCCACCGACCACTTACAGTGCCAAGATCAATTATGATTTTCTGAGAAGCACCAAAGAACGAAATCGAACCAGAGAGAAAGAGTGAGGGTTGGTAACTTATTGAGTAGAGCTGTCAAATCTAAGAAAAGAAGAATCCTTAGGGAGCGAGCAATCTGCCATTGGAGCAAGCACAACCAACTCTAAGTGATAAAAATAAATAAATCTATCTTCTCTCCTCAAAACCCTCTACCTAGTGAAGCCATCACGATCCAAACCCTCCTCGACCTCATCAATGTATGGACACGACTCGACTTGTTGCTTAGATCTGGGTGGCACAAGGCCGTGTTTGAATAAAAGGTTTGGGGCTATGCATCTAGATCTGTGATACTCAAACAGAAAAAGAAAAAAAAATCATTCAAAGAACAAACTTCACAAGCTTGAGTTGCAGACTCGAAGATCAACATTTTATGACTGACCAAAATGAGACCTTGAGTGACTATACAAGACTCCCATGGCGGTGAAACCAAGAGAGAGAGAGAGAGAGATAGATGGCGACTTGATCTGGGTTAGAGAGAGTTAGATCCATAGTCTAAAATATCGATGAAATATCGAGGATATTATCATTTTTTCGAGTCACGGATATTTCGAAACGTATCCATACACATATCGTATAAATATCGATAATATCAGAAAATATCGATGTCGATGATTTCACTCATACTTCAGCAATATTTTGTCAAAATATCGCTATAATATCGAAATATCTAAAATATCGATGTGAAAAAAAAAAAAAAAAAAAAAAAACACAAACGCATAACGCAAAAAGGATTCAAAACCCCTAGCATTTCGCTCCTCCAACGCCTTAACCACCATGTCACTTATATTTTTGTGATAATATGCTAAAATATGTATATATATATTATTCTGTTTCCTTGTAAGAATTAAATTTTCACACGAGAATGTAAGTCTTTGACCTTTCCTTTTGAGATAGAATCGAGGGGTTCATGGAAAGAATCAAAGACCCAATCTTCAAATAAAAATCCTTTGGACAATGTCAACCAATATAGGATCCCATATGGGTGGCATGTTAACAATTACGCAAAACTATTTTGGGGATTTATCATTTGATGACTACTCTTCATAATATACTTACTCTACACCTAGAGATGATGAAGATAGTGAAAATTTTGAACCTCATAAGAACTCTATGTAGTACTAATAAGAACTCTATGTGGTACTAAGTCACTCATGTATCTTATCATGCAATGTATAAAGTGTAAAATATTGTAGTAAAACATTATATATAAATGATTATGGTGTGTTTAATCTTCTTTCCTTAATTACTACATATTTTCTACACTCACAATGTTTGTTAGCTTGTTATATAATCAACTTAAATCAGTTAAACCCATCATGCAATGCATTTCCTTCCAATTTTTTGTGATAAACTAATAGATAATTGACTAAATAAATATCCTCCAAAGTTTCAATAACAATTTCCAAGTTTTTTTTACAATTTCCGTGGTTTTTATGCAACTTTTATCGATATCGATAATATCCCCATATTTCCATAGAAATTTCCGTATTTTTGGACTACCGATATTTCCGATATCATCGATATTTTAGACCTTGGTTAGATCTAATGGAGGTAGGGTGGAGCTGTGGGGAGGGTGGGTTGGAGGTCAGACTAGAAGGTAGGGGACATGGGAGAAGATAAGTTTATTTTTTATTTTTTTTTGGGTTTTAGATTTTTTTATTGTTTTTTCATTTATTTTATTTCTTATGTGGAGTCCACGTCAGTTAAAAAATGGGTCCCACAAATGCCACATTAGCATTTAACAGATTAACTAACGGTTTGACTAACGGAGGGGGCAATTTGTAGGGTTTCTGGGAGTTTGAGTATGTACTCTTAAATGTCTCTAAAATTGAGTATGAACTTGAAAATGACCTATAGTTTCGGAGGTTTTATGTAGTTTTTCCAAAATAATAATAGTAACAAAAGTAAATTTCATTTTAGATGGGCCCACAAATTATATAGAAATAATAAAATGAATTATTTATAAATATGATAAATATTTAAAAGAAATTTAAAAGTAAAAAAAATTTCTTTCTTGCCCCATCTATCTCTTCGAATTATACAACAACTTTTCTTCTCTCTTCAATTAATCAAAACCAAAAGAAAAAAATCAGGTTATTTAGGGGTGGGCACGGTTCGGGTTGGACTGGTTTTTGCCTCAAATTAGAACTGATCTGATACTATTTATCCGGTTTGATTCGGTTTGATTTTAATAAAAAAATTTCAAAAACTATCCAGTTCGGGTTGAATCGGTTCCGGTCCGATTCGATTTTGAACCGAATTATAAAAATTATTTTTTAATACAATTCTCAACTGAAGTAGTTTTTTTTTTTAACTTGAAAATTAACAAATTATTCAATTTCATATAAAAATAAATATTAAGGTTAGAAAAGAGAGATATTTTGAAATTGAACTAGGATAAATATTAGTTTTTTTTTGTTAAATTAAAAATATAGCATTAAATATAAATATATATTGAAATGATATATTTTTTAATTTGACCGGTTCGGTTCGGCCTGGTCCGATTTTTGAAGACATGGAACAGGATCCAAAACCGATCCAAACTGGTCTGGTTGATTTTTGACCGGTTGTTGACTTTTTGGTCAACTCGATTTTTTTCCAGTTTGGTTCAGTGCGGTTCGGCTCGGATTTCTGGTTTGCCAGTTTGAGTGCCCACCCTTAATGTTATTGAAACTCAACTTCCCTTTTACAGTTAATCAAACCTAACATAACCTAAAAAAGATTAAATCAAACAAAACACTTCATGTTCTTCTTCTTCAATCAAAGTAATAGACAGAATAGCAAAACCAACCATGAAATTGATGATAAGATCCATAGAAACCAGTCAATGATCCAAAAACCCCCTATAAATAAAAACAATTGTATATAAAGGATGAATGGAAGGATAGTCATAAATGGATGGCCTTTGTTTGAAAACTACTTCATCGTGGATACATATGACATCTTCCACAATTTTAGCTAATGTAGACTCCACATCCGTACCAAGCCATCTCCATCTTAAGTGAGCGCCATTGGGAGATCCACCGCCTTGGATATGTGGTTGTGCCTTGATAACAGGTGGAGGAGACCAGTAGTGCCTTGGTTGGGTGGGTGTGGGTTTATGGGTAAGGGTGGGTTTGTGTCGTGGGTGGGTGGTCATTTAGGCGGGGAAAGGTAGGGGAGATGATCTGCTTCTAGAGAAAAACTTGTCTGGCATGCGAATGCCAAGGTCATCACTTTCACATAGCGGTGTTGACGTTGACGTCGAGTTGTGATGAGGAGCAATAGTCGCAAAGAAGAAAGGCACGCTAGTGTAACTATTTTTTTTTAAGTATGAGACTGGTGGCTAACTGTCAAAAGGCAATTGGAGGGGATACTGACGTGGAAAGCTTACCTTGGCATCCTTGTGCTAGGCAAGTTCTTCTCTTGGTTCTGGTACAGAGAGAAAAGATAGAAAAAAGTAATTTTCTAAATATTTTTTAAAATAAAATATTTTATTATTTTTTCACACGTGGAACTGACATACATTTCAACAAAAGGGTGGGTCCCATTCGTGCCATTTCAGTGATTTTAACAGAGTTAACGGTGGGGGCCAAAGTGAACCATCGGTAACCCATAATAAATAAGCCTTATTTTCAAGAGGTAAAGTGAAATTTGACTAGAGTTTCAGGCAACACTATAATAAATAACCCTTCTTTTTTATAACTAGTAACCCACAAATGCCACTAATCTTTTACTTTCTATTATTATAGAATTCAATTTCAAAAATTGAAACTTGCTTGTGCATTTTATTTTTTTAAATGGAAAAACAATCTCATTAATCAAAAGAAACCAATCACTAAAGATCACTCAACAGCACGTCCTGTAAGATATGAGGTGGAAACTGTTAGAAATATGCCCTTAAAGCCAACTAATTATGTAATAGTTAGAGTTAAGGACATCTTTGATAAAAGACATATTATATTATCAATGGGCAAGAAATGTTGTTTTATACTTTAAATCATCTTATCTTATCTTTCAGTATGTAAACAACCATAGTCCAAGGAATACACAAGTGGATATGAGAGCTATGTAATGAGATTGCATACATGGAGACTTCTCATCATCCCTAAATCTTGAATATGTTCCTGGTCATAGGAATATTGATTGGGCGTCAATATTCCGCAAAGACCAGTACACACAGTATCGTCTCTATATGTAGGGAATGGCAAGGTCTCAAATCATTAAGTGTGGAGACATATCGATATGTGTGTAGGTGCTTGTAGAAGAACAAGTAACTGAACGCGATCCAACACATGAGTTACAGCATGGAAGTCTTTACTCACATGGCAAGCTAGAACTCATAAATTGCAATGGTGCAAACTAATCCTTAGACCTTAGGCATCATAGATGTTTTGTAGCTATGTTGTTAATCTTTGAGGGCACTATACGTTCATGTTGAATTAGGCATAGCTTAAAGGTGCTCATCATGATTCTCAATTGAGTCATGGAAGCAAATGTGTACAACAAGGAATCTCTACTCTAGGTAAAGGAGAGAGAATACTCCAAGATATGATTGGTTAAATCTTTGCGCAGAGAAGTGGATAAGACTTGAAAGAAGAAGTCTTCAAATCTTACCAGGATAATCATATAAAAGGAATGATTCACATTATGATATTGACAATCAGATTCCATGTTCTAATAATGTGAATAAGGAGTATTGACATAAGAGAATGATTCAATTGGCGGTCATTCCAATTTGAATAGGTTCTTTCACAACGTCTCATTTAGCTCGGATAACCGTGACTTGCTGCTAGGCGACAACCATGGTTTGTGGATGTCCTAAAAGGTTTCAATTAACCTTTAAGGAAGAATTAAATTGTGGAATTTAATTTGTATATCATCTATGAGGAGTTGAGTCAACCCACTACCTTGCTAAATGGAACCTACGGATCTGCATACCCAAATAATGTGATTAGAGGTACAAATGAGGAGACACAAGTCAATGGTTGATAATCAAATGTCAAAGTCAACGGTCAAAAGTCAACATGTTGACTGGAGCAATTGACCAAAGTCAAATAGTTCAACCGGGTCAATTAAGTAAAACTATAATTATAATTTAATAGTTAAATTATAATTAAAAGATTAATTATGGAATTAATATTGACATATAGCAATATTGTAGTGGAGTTTTAAATATGATTTAAAAGAAAAGGGACAAAATAGCCCAAAAGGCTATTGGGCCCAAGGAATAAGTGGCATAAGATGACATGACCCATGGACCAAATGGAGCCCCAAATACCCACCCAATTGCCTTTTGTGTTGTTCTATATAAGTTAAGTGTTGGAGAAAACCTAGCTAGGGTTTTTTTTTCCTACTTTGGTTGATGAGTGATATCCTTGTATCTCATCTTCCATAAACCAAAAATTGGTCCAACCAAGAAGTAGACTAGCATACATACTTCTTGATTGCCTTCTCTTCATCTCTAGGAGCATTTGGTGTGGTGAGGTAGATGACTCCAATCTTGGAGCCTTAAGGTGAGGGAGTCAAAATCAAGAAAACAAAAAGCCTTTCCAACAAAGGTGTTCATTCTTGAGAAATCAAGAAAAGGTCATCAAAGGTAAAGGAACTATTCCCTTTTCCCTTTTTTTATTTGTGTTCAAAGAGACTAGGTTAAGATACCTGGTTTAAAATGAAAAAGATTTAGTTCAACTAGTATAAACAAAATAAATTTGCCATTTAAAATGTTTTTGTTGTATAGGTTGTGGCTAAAGTTCATTTCCTAAGCATTAGACGTATGTTTCCTTTAGAAACATGTAGAGATAAAACAGATTTAGCTAGTCTATGAGCCACTAGGTTGACTTCAAACAAAATTAATGGAAGCATTGCCCAACCTCCACAAAAGATTGGAGGAGTACTTAAATAAAAATCGAAACCTTTATGGAGTCTTTTAAAGTAATGATTTAATATGTCCAAATTCGAATGAACTTTATAGATTGAGTATACTCATAATTTTTGTATTTTATCGTGATTCAATACCCTAGAATTAACTTATTTTAAATCTTTTAAAATCTCAATCAAGGATTAAAATTTTGATAATATCGACGAAATATCGATGATATTATTGTTTTTTTCAGGTCTAGGATATTTGGGAATATATCCATACACATATCGTATAAATATCGATAATATTGGAAAATATCGATGTAGATAATTCTCACACTTCAGCAATATTTGGACAAAATATCGCTATAATATCGATAATATCGAGATAATGAAGACAATGAAAAATTGGAAGAGTTATTTACACTAACACCCCCCTGAGGTTTCTTGTGTTTTCACAAAACCCTCTCAGGTCTCAAAAATTACATGAACACCCCTAAGGTTTTAGTTTGTTTTCACAAAACCCCATTTCGTTGATTGTTTGTCCAAAAATTGATGATTTCGGTTAAAAAAAAACTTATGCAAATGACAAAATCAACCTCAATGAAGTATATGCAATCTAATCTCAGAGGCAAACTTTGTCATTTGGAGAATTTTTTTTGAATAAAATCATCAATCTTTGGATGAAAATGAAAAGGAGTTTTGTGAAAAAAATTTAAAACATCAGGGGGTGGTCTTGTAGTTTCTAAAACCTCAAGGAGTTTTGTGAAAAAGCCGAAAACCTTGTTTTTGCAAATTTCTCAAGGGAGAATATTCCCGTGTAGATTCTTTAACCTTCGAGCTTTCTTCTCTCTCTTCCTCAATTCTTGTAAAACAAATAGAAGTAAAAGACCACACCCAGGGGGTGTTGGCCAAAGGCCCTCAAATACCTAAGTTAATTCAATTGGATCTTTGAGAAAAGATGCAGCAATAGCTAAACTGGACGATGTTTTCTCTCATGTGGAGAGCCAGGGTGGCAGAAGCCGTGTGTGGTGGCACTTAGCTGTGTGGGAGGTGTGAGAGAGGGAGAGGTCGGCGGCTAGAGAGAGAGATAGAGAGAGGTTTTCGTGGGTTTGTAGAGCTAGGTTTAGGATTACCTCATGTGTTGAACGTGGCTATGTATTTATAGGGCTCTAGCCATCTAAGGTTTTTCAAAGAATATCTTCTTATTTGGAAGGAAGATATTTTTTCTCTTAAATGGAGAGATTGAGTCAATTAGGGATTTGATTGGGATCAAATCACTAATTGATGATAATATCTCCAAAATAAGATAATATCATAAATTGATGATATTATCTTTAATTGGTGATTATATTCCCAAATAAAGATAATATCCCTATTTTTAGTATCAATTAATTGGCCAAATAAACGGGCTGAATTATTGACCTAGGAGATATTCTTCTTGTCCATGTGGCACCTTGTGATTGGAAGCCGGATTATTTGCTTGCACAAACCTCAGGGGGTGTTAGTGTAAATAACTCAAATTTGAACATTATAGGAACTCTATGTGATACTAAGTCACTTATATATCTTACCATGCAATGTATAAAGTGCAAAATATTGTAGTAAATCATTATAAATAAATGATTATGGTGTGTTTAATCTTCTTTCATTAATTACTACATATTTAATACACTCGCAGTGTTTGTCAGCTCGTTATATAATCAACTTAAATCAGTTAAACTCATCAAGCAATGCATTTCCTTCCAATTTTTTTGATAAAGTAATAGATAATTGACTAAATAAACATCCTCCAAAGTTTCAAAAAAATTTCCAATTTTTTCTTACAATTTCTTGGTTTTTATTCAATTTTTATCAATATCGATAATTTCCCGATATTTCCATTGAAATTTTTGTGTTTTTCGACTACCGATATTTCCGAAACCATCGATATTTTATACCTTAATTTCAATTGAATACCCCTTTGAAACATAGTTTTTTGTGTTTTATTCTTTTTGTGCTGTTGTTTTCGGGTTGATTATAAAAAACAAAAAAGTCACTTTATTGGTTTTTTCGCTTTCGTCCTTGTAGTTTCAATTTTGTCATTATAGCTTCATAATTGTAGCAATTCAAGGACATGCCGTGAAACAAATTGACGAAAATAGTGATGTGTCCTTAAATGACTACAATTATGAAACTACAATAACAAAAGTGACAAAATTGAAAATTACAGGGACAAAAATGAAAAAATTATAAACACTAAGACCAAAACTGACTTTTTGCCTTTGGAGTTAAAGGGCACGAAAGGACAAAAATACCCCTTATGTACGGCACATAGTTATGTCGTGAAAGAAATTGACTGAAATTGTGATTTGCCCTTGAATTGTCAAGTACGAAACCACATGATAAAATTGGCAAAATTGAAATTACATGTATGAAAGTGATAAACCCAATAAATACGGGACCAAAAATGAATTTTTGCCTTGTAAAAATATGCAGGTTATGATGGATTTATGTGAAATGGAGAGAAGCTGAGGGGGCGTTTCGTATCCTATTCAAATAGGGAACTCAAAAACTTTGATTTTTCTTTAAAACAAGGAGTCCTCAAATCTATTTTTAAGATTCAAACACTTGTTTGGTATGCAACTTAAAAATTGTTTTCAAATATTAAAAATTTGAGAACTTGTTTGGTTGAATTCTTGAAAACATTTTCTTTTCAAATTACATTTTTGTCCTTGGGTAGTGGGTATTTTGGACATTTTTGTTCATAAAGGAATTTGATAAATTGAGTTGCACGTTGCATGGAGCTCGTCGATGCAAGTTTGTAGACAAGTGGCAGGCTCAATTCTGACTTGAAATGAAGAAATTATGATCTATGGAAGTACAATAACACAACCGTAATTTTTGCAAAGTGAAATTTTAAAAACCTCAGTTAGCTCTCTCTCCCCGACACACACACACACACACACACTCTCTCTCTCTCTCTCTCTTTCTCTCTCACGTGTGAACAATGGCCCCACTACTTCTAGCCCATTTTCCGACGTCGTCCAAACTCTGTTGCCACTGCAGCCTTCACGAAAAATACTCCTCACATCCTCCTCTACAAAACCCATAAAACATCCGACCTAATTAGCCAAAGGATAGCTCAAATTTTCAATTGGAAAAACAGCCCAAAAATTATCCTATCGGTGCCAAACTTTCTCAGTTTAGTCCAACCATCTCCGGCCACCTTTGGCCGGGGTCCCTTCATGAAAATTTTCCCCAACCTCTCTTCTATCTCTTCCTCCAAAGATTTGGCCCCATACCTTGCCGAAAAACCCAAACTGAAGTTAGAGAAATCAAGGTTTCTTGTTGGAAAACCTTAAAATCCAGCCACCTTCAGTCACTTTTGGCGTTCGACTTAGGTATAAAGAAAACCTTAAACCCAAATCGACCATCATTGCAATGTTGATTCTGCTAGAAATGTAAGTTTGGAAATCTTAGGCAGAGAGAGAGAGAGATATATATATATATATATATAAAGAAAGCGTGGAGAGAATTGGGAGAGAAAAGGCAGAGAGGAAGAGAGAGGAGAGAGGCACATTGGATTGTTAGAAAAAAAAATTGAAAAAACAAATATTTTTTGTTTTTAATAATTGGGGTGTTTTTGAGTTGTTCTTGAGTTTGAGTTTTTAAAAATAGGGTTACTAAACAGGTTTTCTTTGTTTTGGATTCAAATTCTGTTTTTGAATTTAAAAAGTTGGATTCAAGTTGAATACCAAAAAGGGTGTCACACCCTTCTAAATTTGAAATTCTAAAAAAACACGGTGATAAGTCGTTTGCAGCTAAACTGTGTCAACCCAAAACGTCACACTTCCAAGTCTCAAACCCTTCAACTCAAAGCAAACAACAAATGGCTCCAAACCCTGTATCACTCGCTCGTAAAACCCCTCTCCTAAACCGTTTCGTGGGTTATTCTCGTAGACCCTCTTTGCATTCTGGTCCTCAGTCTAGGATTGCAGCAAACCCTGTTCAGATAAGGGGCTTTAGAAGCTCTTCTTTGAGCCATTGCCACTCACATGCTCCGCATTCTCATTCTTATTGCCTGAATTCTGGCAATGGAGTCATGTTTAAGGACTTGGGTCGTTCTGAAATAGGTTTTAGGCAACTGGGTTTTGACCGGTTTCGTCTCTCCGTCGTTTCGGATGGTGGGTCGGGTGGAACTGGTGGATATGGCGGTTCTGGTGATGGAAATTATGGTGGCAGAGGTGACGGTGGTGCCGGAGATGGTGGTCGTGGTGAAAACAATTGGTCGTTGCTCTCTTGGTAACATATGCCAACTTGAAGCTTTAATTTCCGAACTATCCTTTATTTTGGTACACTATGGCTATAGATACATATATTACACTAGAGGCCTCTGAGGAGTTAATTGAAGTGTATTCTTACACTCTCTGTCACAATAACTGAGAGCTCGTCATAGTTTTGCTTTGGCCAATTGCCTTCTATACTGTCTGTCCAAAAGGACTAAAACTCTGTGTATGGCCACTTAATTGTGTTGGAATGATTGTTCCAAAATTCAGGTTGGAGATTGTTCTCACGGGCATTTTCCTTATTATTTTCTAGATTGAAATTGTTATTCTTTTGACTTTCGTTTTGATAGCTTTCTGCATGTTACATAAAACGTAAGCTAAACCAGTTCATATAAACTGTTAGTCTCCCATTATCTTGACATGTCTGACTGATAAGCTTTTACATTCAAGCTATGGATGTAAAGGTTTTGTACCATTGAGTGTACATCTACATCAAAACTTGAAATGCTCAAAGCTTTGGCAAACATTTGTACAATATTAGCACTTGGTCCTATGTTTAAGCCTGAGGATGGAAATAGGATTGCAAACCTTTTTCTCAATGAATCAAATTGCAAATAAAATATGTATTCAGCCTCACCAGCATGGATTTTATATTATTACAGGTATTTGGATCTTCTTGCAAAGTATCCAGTGTCAACAAAAGCTCTTACGTCTGCCTTTTTAACTCTCATTGGAGATGTGATCTGCCAGGTATAGTTCCTGTAGTTGCCATTAAGAAAAGTTATTAAATAATATCTTTCTTTCTCTGTTTTGCTATGTTATCTTCAACTTGCACTTCCAGTGTGTCTATTTTAATTTGAATAGATAGTAAAAACATGAAGAATTCAGAGGAGTGTTTATTTGGTCTCTTTTGGTCAAAAATTATATGTATAGAAAATGATATTAGAATGTAGAATCTACGGCCGTTGGTTTACTTCTTTGAGACCATGCTACAAAATTTAAACACAATCTAAGACAGAAGGCAGATCAACTTAGACTGATTGCCACCTAACTAAAAGAAGATCTTCGAGTTCAAGCTGCACATTTATCGCTGAAGTTCTTACTGACAGCCGTTGATGTTCATCCTCTACCTTCTACTCCAGAGTAACAATTCCTGACAACTTGCTCCATGACCATACTAATACTGGACACGTTCATCTTATACCAACTTCTTTGGATGATATTTTATATTCAATACTACACAGTTCAAATATAAGGTTTTGGTCTAAAGGGAAAATTAGGAGTTAAGGGGGGATAATTAAATGTCATACGGTTCCGAAAAGAAAAATCTGGTTGGATTGGTTGAGTTGGCAAATCTGATGTGATTTTAATGTTATAAAAAAGAGAATTGGAAGAATGAGGAAGATGAACCTCGAAAGGGCCAAAACCAATTCTATCTCTGTTCCAGCAATAGATTAGCTATACATCTCTGGTTTTGGTGCTTACTAGAACTCCATATCTCGATCTCAAGTAAGCTACAGAGTTTCCCTGAGGTTGAAATAACATACTATAAGTTTATTTAAATTAGTACTGGTGATCCTAAATTATTCTGGTAGTTTATCGTTTTGATAACTTGCTATTTTCTCTTGGAATATAACAATACGTGTAATTCTTTGTCCAGCTTGTGATTGATAAAGCTCCGGACCTGGACTTGAAAAGAACATTCTTGTTTACTCTGTTGGGGCTGGTGTTAGTAGGTCCGACGTTACATTTCTGGTAACCATTCAGAATTCCATTTGTAAGCCTGAAATTTGGAATTGCCATTATAGCCTTGAATTCCTTAAATTTTTCTAATATAGGATACAACACTTTGAAACACACAGTAAATGTCAACCAATGTGATTGCTATCTTTACACCGGTATGCTACAAAATATGTTGGATTTTGTAAATAAGTAATCTAATTTCGTGGTAATTTTTCTTTGTTTCTATGATTATGTTCTTCTTTTTCCTGTTCTGCTCTTGTAAGTTTCCATTTCATCACCTTTTGTATCTCTAGGTATTTGTATCTAAGCAAACTGGTCACAACGCCTGGAGCATCAGGTGCATTCCAGCGCCTTCTACTTGATCAGGTGACCTCAACTTGTGATTTTAGGGTTTTTATTTTTATTTTTTAAATTTCATGACACATCATCATGTTAAGTTTTGAGTTATTGTTGATGCAGTTTATTTTCTCTCCTATATTCATTGGAGTTTTCTTATCAACATTGATGACACTGGAGGGAAAATCTTCACAAGTTGTACCCAAGCTTCAACAGGTGGTGTTAATGGAATTATATATATCACCTTTGAAACCTAATGGAATGATTGTATTTACTTTTGTATACAAACTGTTTTTGTTAATACGATGTATCTACTTTTGTAGGAGTGGTTTTCTGCTGTTCTCGCTAATTGGCAACTGTGGATACCTTTCCAGTTTCTTAACTTTCGGTTTGTCCCACAGCAATTCCAGGTTAGAATGGTATAAATGAAGCTATAAATTTGTTAGGGCTCCTAGACAGGATATGTGTGGGACATTGTGAAATTGCAGACTGAAGATTGCCTCACTGCCCGCCTCCTGACATATAAGACGTTTGTGAGGAGCTAAGAGTCTCTCTCAACGCATGGGCTTCTCAGTGTCATAGTGGGGATTGTCCCTCTGCCTCTAGATGTATTACAGTTAGAAAAGATTTTAGAAGTTTAGTTAGTATTAATTCCTTGTTAGAAGTTATACGTGTAAACTTTGTGTTTACTTAATTTCCATTCAGCCTAGACTGAGCATGCCAATTTAATTTGCGGTTGATAGAATTCTACTTGAGAGGAACGTAAACAAAATTAAATTATATAATAGAACTTCTTTAGGATTCAAAAACTGGACTGGAAAATACTGAAAATGGATGGTATGCTGTGATCAGAATGTATATACAGTTTTCAGGAAAATGGATGGGATTCCTGACGTAGAACCAGTAAGGAGATGCAGAGAGATAGGAAATTATAGGAGTGGATAGAGAATCAGAGAGGAAACAGAAATGACGAAGAGAAATTTAGAAGAGCATAGAAGGAGATAGACAGAAAGAGACTTGTAGAAGAAAGAGGGGAAAGATATAGAAAGTTATTCAAGAAGGATAAGTTTATTCACTAACAAAGTCTTTCTACTCAACTACAAAGGAGGTATCGAAAAGGACCTAATGTTGCTAGAAACAGGAAAGCAAACCTAATCTTACTAGAAACAGGAAACCAGAATAAGCCTAGATTAAATATCCCTAGTCCTTCTGTGTCATACCAAGATAGTGGTCAAGGCCTCATGTTGTCCATGGAAGATATTTCCCCAGGCTTCAATGTTTTTTCCTTCTCTCTGTCGCTTTGTGGTGAGAATGGGTAGGGGGGGGGAGGTTTTAGGAAGAAATTTGGGTTGGGGAAAACACCTGTGTTAGTCTCTTTTCCTTAACTATATAAACGTGCAACCTCTCCTAACATTTCCACAACTAGAATGTGTGACATTGATATTTTCCTTTGTTGAAATTTAAATGACTCTAAAGTTGGGGGAGCTTTCTTCATTACTTGGTTGGAAAATGTTTATATCCATCTAGACTGATAGAAGAAGCTGGATTTGGAGTCTTCTGAGATTCCTTATAAATCTTTTGCAAGAGGATTGGCGACCCATCTATTTCTTGCTTCCATTCTTGTCCCATGATTCGAAGGATACAGTTCATATCTTTGATGAATGCTCATGGGAGGGTCAACACTAGTGCTATGGTTGAAAGGAGAAAGCCTAAAATGTTTCTCTTTCTCCCCATTGGTATATTATGTGTAAAGGAGAGGCTCGAAGTGTTAATAATTTGCTTCTTCATTGTCCAGTTGCTTAATTTATGGTGGGGACTACATTGAGAAGCTGGTTAGAGCTGGGTGGTTCCCAGCATCTTGTTTAGCATAATTCTGTAAGAAGCACATGGAATTTAGGGAGGGAAGAAGTGTATATACAGGTTTCATTGGTAGCATTTTAAATGTCTTCTTGCCAGCTTTAGCTTCTGTGTCAGTGGACTTCTTGTCCTCTACAACTTTTGTACTTTCAGCTTGTACTCATCTGGTCTTGATTAAATAATGTTTCTTATTATAAAGAATTACTGGAGTCAGAGTAACAAACTATGAAACCAATATATTATGATTTTGCATTATGTTCTAATTAACGATGTGGAAGAATGTTGCTAGTCTGGTACAAAACAAGATTTGACAGAATATATATTGTAATTTATCACTGTTGAGTTTTTAGTATCACTTGTTTTTTCTGTTGTGTATAGACACTGTTGCCTAGCTAATGTTGTTTTTTGTGACTGCTTATATGACCTTTCCTGCACAATTGTACTTTTCTATATAACTTAGCATTTATGGGTGATGACCTACTGAACCAAATAAAGAAAATTACTTGATGATTTATGGGTATCAGCTACAAAACATAACCTTTCGTTCATTCATTGCATAATCATTACATGATAGCACCTGGTCATATATAGGACAACGGTACAAAAATAGGAAAATGCAAATACGTAAAGGAGAAGGAAAATCACATAACCAATTGCGGAAATCTAGCAATAGAATGGTATGAGGCAGCAAATTTTAGAATCCTTTAGAGTTATCTTAATAACTGACATCAGAAAATTCCAAACAACGAAGCAATGGCCCAAAGCTCCAGCCCATTATCCATCTCATGATTATATCTAGTGGCCTAGTGTGATGAGTATCTCATCAATCCCTCTCTTGAAATCCGGCCTGCCCCATGCCAAAACTATGGAAAAACATGCTCGACTCACATCTCAACTGACATGTGATGCAAATGCTTTTATCTTGACAAGTCCACAGCCTAGGATCTTCTATGGCAGCCATTGAGTCATTCCTGTATCTTAAATTGGAGGTAGAACCAAACAGAGACATTAGTGGTCACCCGTACTCTCTTCTTAAGCAGAGTTTTTTTTTTTTTTTTTTTTTTTTTTTTTTTTTTTTTTTTTTTTTTTTTTTTTTTTTTTTTTTTTTTTTTTTTTTTTTTTTTTTTTTTTTTTTTTTTTTTTTTTTTTTTTTTTTTTTTTTTTTTTTTTTTTTTTTTTTTTTTTTTTTTTTTTTTTTTTTTTTTTTTTTTTTTTTTTTTTTTTTTTTTTTTTTTTTTTTTTTTTTTTTTTTTTTTTTTTTTTTTTTTTTTTTTTTTTTTTTTTTTTTTTTTTTTTTTTTTTTTTTTTTTTTTTTTTTTTTTTTTTTTTTTTTTTTTTTTTTTTTTTTTTTTTTTTTTTTTTTTTTTTTTTTTTTTTTTTTTTTTTTTTTTTTTTTTTTTTTTTTTTTTTTTTTTTTTTTTTTTTTTTTTCCCCCATCAATTTATGGTAAATATTATTATACGGTAATTTCCTAGATTTAAAGGGATATTCATAAAGATTACTTGGCGTAGAAGACAATCAAGTGATTGATCCTAGAATGATTCTGATTTTAGAGTGACCTAATAAGAGATTACTTCCTACAAGGGTTAGGGTTACGCTACTATATAAAGGAGACACATCAACTTTCTCAAACACAACTTTTCAACAACAAACTCTACACTAAAGCCAAAGCTTTTAGTCAAAGACATTCGTCTCTCTTCTATTTGCTCTACCAAGCCTCCTTGGTATCGATTTCTAATTGACTTTGTCAGTTGAAGGCCATTCTGGTTGTATCTTCTCTTTTTTTGATCTACTAGAACCGCACAGTTCCGATCCTTACTCGTTTGTCACTCGTGGCTTAGTTCTACTTTGATCCAAGATTAATACAAGGTGGTGGCAACTTGAAGTTCTGGTTGATCTGTTTTACTTGCTTTCATTTGTTTTCACTATTTTATTTACCTTTATTGCCCTTTCCATTATATTAGAGAAATTATGAAGTCCTTATTTGACTTAAGGCATATAAAAGAACCTCATGGATTTAATACCGTTTCAATATTCACAATCTTTTGATTAAAGTCATTTACTAGGTGCTCAAGTTCTTTTATTTATTTATATTTATGTCTATAAGAATTAGTTAATTGCTAATAGTAGCACATTCGCAACTCACACCTTCCCAAAGTCTACTCTAGGGCTTTCTTTCATTTTTCAGGGTAAACAAATATGTCAGTTGAACCATCACTCACACCCTTGGGACATTTTATTGAGAGGACTCAAACTGCTGACAGCCCTGACATGAACTACTACATCTCAAGCCTTTGAATTAATTGGAGAAATCATTATATGATACCATAGTACGGTCACATAGAATACCATATTATAATCTCTCAGAATTGATCAATATTTGAGATGTATATTTATTGTTGTGGCCCAAAAAATCGCAAGGTCCATGGATATTTTAGGCCCAATGCATTATTATGCTATAAAAGAAGCCTAGCTAGGGTACAAGGAACCTCATCATATATAACTATGAAAGGCCTAAGAAAGCTTTGATATTCATGTCATGCCATGTGAGACTATAATTTGGCACTTGGGGAGGTCATGATATGGGTTTACCAATTTCACATGCAAACCTATAAAGTTTAACAATGTCACACGCCCGAGCTCATCTAGCCCACTGCTTCGTCAAGCATTATCTAGCACAGCCCCAAGCCACTGCAATACATCGTAGCCCAAGCATAAGCACACAAATAATATGTCATGCCTAGCGAATCCCTTTAGTGCCAAACCATCCGACAAGCTTAAGTAGGCCCAAGCCACATACATGTCTGGCCTTGCTGAGCTTGTTGTGGTGTGAATGGGTACGAGGGTCCATAAGGCCTATTGAGGGTTCAAAAGGTAGATGTTTTGGGTAGCTTGGGGTTACTAAAACCCAAGCCCACTTTCTTGAGCCCAACTACATGGATAAGCACAAAGAGAATTTCATCCCCCCTTTTGTTGAAGCCAAACCAGCTTGCTTAAAACCAAATCACAATCACTTAAATATCGTTCACTTAGATACATAGGCTGATGGAAGCTCACGTCTTTCTCCCATTTGACCAGCACCTTCACCCAAAATTTACACTATAAGGTATCGTAAGAAAATAAGGAGAGAAAGCGAAGGAGAGCGTTGCCAAGAATGAAGGTTGCTATAAGGTTTAGCTGCAGGAAGGCTTTGGGGCACCAAAATTTGTTTTGTCTCAATAACCATGGGCTCAGCTGATTTTAGGGAATTTAACTGATTAATGCCAAATTGGAGAAGGTGAAGGGGAAGAGGAGAGGAGACTTGGCTGAAAAAGGAAGAAATGGCTAGGGTTTGAAGGGTTCGAGCGCCTATAAAATAAGGTCATAGATTAACCAGCAAAGGGAGAACTCAAGTAGAGTGAGCAAGCCTCTCCTCCAACTGCTGGAAACACAAAAGCTCAAGCCATAATCTTTCACTTCTCCACCTTCTCTCTCAAAAGCCCCATTCCAGATGAAAAAAAAACCCATTTTTCTCTTCTTAAGTATCTTGTTCTAACAAATCTCTAAAGTCAAGCTGAAATCATAGTCATCATCTTGGTAAGAAACCACAACCAAAGCGAGCAAGATATCCTCTAATTGCTGGAAACATCAAGCTCAAGCACCATCTCTTCCATCTTATTCTCTTCTCTCTCAAAAGACCTTATTCCAGATCTGGCACACTCATCCTCTCAAGCCAAGCTAAACTTAGAGGCTCTTATCTCCCACACCACAAGCCTCTCATGCCAAACCTAACCGTAACTTGATTCACCAAAGCAAGCTTTCATGCCATGCCTATACGGTCTCTACAACATCTTCAACTCTTTTCAGACCCGCTGAATGCTTATCCGAACAAGCGGCAACGCCTTTCCACGTTGAGCAACTTCCTCCTAGTAACCCTTGTATCCTTATCATCAACACATGCAATGTACTGAGGAGCCATTGAAGATGACCAAAGCACTCCCTAAGGCTTCAACTCTATCGAAGTGTTTAGGGTCTTGGTGCTGCAAACTCAGGCAAAGGTGAAAGAGAGCCCAACCCACCTCGTAGCAGTCCAATAAGCCCTTTGCAGCTCTTAACAAAAATAACCCAACATTTATCAACTATTGATTAGGGATGGGGATGTGGGTATGCCATCCCCATCCCCATCCCCATCCCTGTTAAACATTTTTCCCCATCCCCCACCTTTATTGGGGAAAGGTTTCTTTCGCATTACATAAAAACTAATTTTTTTTATGGGAAAAAAAATACTATGAGCTCAACATATTTACTTTTTTAACCAAATATATACAACTAGTAAGTTTAAAGAGATTCCTCTAAAATTAATTATATATAGTACTATAATATATGAAATACAAAATTTTGTTAGAGTCACTCTAATAATCTATATATATAAAGCAAAAGACAGAGAATGGTGAAACATTCAAAGTACTAGAAAATACCCATGATTAGCTCAAACATTAAGAATTGAAATTATTAATTAAATGAGAACAATATGGTAAATTCACTTTTTTCATATTAAAAAAAATTTAAACTAAAAACAAAATCAAATAATAGGTTCTACTTTTATGGAACATAACTACCCATAAAATTAAAAATTAAAAAGAAAACCAATTGGCCAAGGGGATAGTATATACTATATATATATATATATATATATATATATATTCTAAACGGGGAGGGTTTAGAGAGGGAATTGAAATACCATCCTCGCTCCTCCTTGATCACTATGTCCAAAAAAATTTCCAAAGTCATCTGCATACTCAATTTTTATCCTTCATACCCGATTTGTTAGGGTCGAATTCAGACGAGGAAAATTGCCATGACCTCCCAAAGTTCCACTTTAAAGTTCCCTGTTATTTCTCAAATCTCTCTTAAAATTTGCCAAACATGTTGGTTTGACCATGCGGGACTTTCACGTTCCACACATCTCAAATCTCATCTCTAAGTACCTCATCCAAACATAGTGTTAAGGAAAAATTCAATAACGGCCCTAAATCTGCTCTCGTTCGACCACAATTCCCAAACTCTCGACTCCAATTCGTTCGTACACCTGGTGGTCAATTTATTTAATATTAAATTCAGGCCAAAATAATTCCTAAATATAAATAGAAAAAATTTTGAAAAAAGAAAAAGAAAGGACAGGCGTGAAGGATGCCAAAGCAAGCAGGCAAGCAGGCAAATGCTTCTTCTCTGCTTACGCCAATATAAATACTTCACAATACTTATGGTTGTTTTCTTTCCTAAATTATCGAATCCAAAATCTGTTACTTTTTTATTCTATAAATAATAACAACGAAAAATAAAAAGGGTTATTGGGGATTTTCAGATGAGGGCCAAATTCTAAATGGATGTTGATTTCGACAATTGCAATGACCTCTGAGGCTCTGAATCTGTATTTTCATGGCGAACAGGTATTTTATTTCTCTTCCTGTAATTCTAATGGGTTTGCTGTTAAATTAATATAGGGCATGACATTGTTTTTATTTTTCCAGAGACAAAATATATATATATATATTTTCGTAATTAATTTGAATTTTGCAGTTGATTGTTGGTGATTAATTGTGTTAAATATTCAACTTGAAAAGATGTCATTCAAAAAGCGGGAAGGTACAATAGAGAAAGCTTTGACACAGGAAGAGCAGCTGCTCAAGGTAATATAATAATAATAATAAAAATACTCTAATTTCTGTGTGATTTAATTCAATCCTATTTGTTGCTTCTGTATCATTTACATGTCAATGACTTTGAATCCCCATATCCCACAATACCAGGTACATAAAAAAAAATTATTCATATTGTACATGTCCTGCTTTTGCTAAAATAATAATCTAAAGTTGTTCCTTGATCTTGCATACAAACTAGTAATGTATAGAATTAAATAATCAATGATCATTTCTTTCAATCTGAGAGCACACTTGCTCGTTTCCGGGTGGATTTAAAATCAGTTTTTAAAGCATTTGCACGTTTTTAAGAAATAAGGAAATGATTTTGTTTATTCTTCCATGGACAAGTTATTCTGATAGACTGCTAGTAGTTTCTTTTAATGGGGCCTTTTTTTCTTCTTCTTTTTTTTATTTTATATATATTTGGTTTCAAATGTTTGACGGTTCTTCCCTGGAAAGTTGCATCTGCATCTGGTTTCCAATTTCAGCTATCCTCAATTTTCTTCCTTTGTTTTGACTTCGACCTTTTTTAGAATAAGGTCTATCGTGTTTGGATGATGGCGCATTGTTTGGCCAAAGAGAGACAAATTAAAATTCTGATTGTTGACCTGACTTGCTATTGATGTCTGCAGACAAATTGAAAACTAGACTCTTCAGATTATGCCTCCATGAATTTGAAATATATAGAAACGTTTTTCCATGCCTAATTTTGTCACATATGTTGTACAAATGAGAGTGAAGTCCTAGATAAAGATGTAAGACTTCATTTCATGGTAGCGGAGCGGTGATTGAGAAATTTGATGAAGTGGTAAATTTATATGTCTTATTGATGAATCTCTTCATAGGAAATAATTTTCCCTTCTTCTCTTCAGATTTATGAAGTCAGACATATGATAGGTCCTATTGCTGATAAGTTACCAGCCATTTGTTCAGAAGAATCAATAGCAAGGTACCTAAGAGCACGGAACTGGAATACGAAGAAGGCAGGTAAGATGTTGAAAGAAACAATAAAATGGAGGATGGAGTACAAGCCAGAGAAGATCCGATGGGTAAGCTGAGATATGTGATGTCATGTCTGTTTACAGCAACATAATTTATTGTTCCAGAATATTCAGAGGGCCCTAATGTTTGAAGAATGAGAAACAAGTGTAGTTCTATATATATTTTTATAATGCACTTGTCATGTACAAGCCATTGTTCTGAGAAACGTGTTTGTTAAACCCCATAGAATACATCCACACATTTCAGAATGCTAGAGATGTGAACTGGCAGATTCTTCTTAATCCAATTCCCTTAGCTAATTCGAATGTTTGCCAAACTGTTCTCTTCTCCTCCAAGTTATGAGTGATTTATGCTTTTCTTTCTTGCCACTTGCCGATTTAAAGTGGTTTGTTCTTATCTCATATAGGAAAACATTGCTCCTGAGGGAGAGACAGGAAAAATTTACAGAGCCAATTACTTTGACAAGTGTGGAAGGACCGTTCTTATCATGAGGCCTGGTTTTCAGGTAGTTAAAAAAGCATGACATGAGTCTTCCTTTCTACATTTATGTCAATTAATAGTTATCGTTATTTTTCTGATTAGTAGGTTTTAAGCCTTTTTTTTCTTTCCTTTTTCTTCTTGATTGTGAAATTCTTTCGTCATGTCAGAACACAACTGCAGTACATGGGCAGATCATGTATTTAGTATATTGCATGGAGAATGCAATACTGAATTTGAATTCAGATCAAGAACAGATGGTTTGGCTAATTGATTTTCAACAGTGGAGCTCATCAAGCATATCATTGAAGGTGACTAGGGAAACAGCTAGGGTCCTGCAGAATCATTACCCTGAGAGATTGGGCCTTGGTATCCTCTATAATCCACCAAAAATATTCGAGTCCTTTTGGACGGTATGTTGTTTTACATCTTTTCATTTGTTATTACTTTCTTGTCTAAACCTTATTATTGTTTATTGTTATGATATTAACCTTTGTATGTTCTAGTGCCTGAGTCATGAATTTGATGCAGGATAGAATGGATCACATTACTATAAATAGGGAACCAGGTTTAGTGTGTGTTGTGCTATGTTGTAAAATTAGAATATAAGCAAGGACCTTGGGATTGTTTCAGTGATCTGTATGTGAGTGGGGGTGACGAAACTAGCAACAGGAGTGATTAACTGCATCAATGGTGCAAAGAAATTAGTATAAATACGATATTAGTTCAGGGTTTCCTTGTGGATTTGTGGCCACAGAACCATTGGCTGTAACCCAGAATAACCTGTCAACGACTCGAATAAGAGAATTGCCTTTCTATTCAAAACAACCCCTGACAAAAATAAGTTGAATTTTTACATTCAAAGACTAAAAAAACAGAATACTGGATAAAATAGCCTAACAGCATCCAGTACAGAAATTCTTTCCCATTTTGTAAAATAAAACCAAGTGTACGAAAATTAATAAAATAAAATAACTCAAACTAAGGTTTTAAACACTGAAATGTCTATTATGGACATTTATTTGGACAAATATCTCTTCCTAACAGTTTTAAGGCTCATAGGGCGTGTCTTGCACTTCACCTGATGGTACATTTGGTTTGTTAGAATTATCTGGTACTGACAACTAGGTTCTTTCATGTTTTTATTTGAAATGATTTAAATCATCATTTGCTAACTTTTATGTCTGTTTAAGGATATTTATCAAATTCTCCTTGTTATATATCTAAAAAATTTGGTGAAACTTTCTTTGAAACAGATGGTAAAACCATTTCTTGAGCCCAAAACATACAAGAAGATGAAGTTTGTGTACTCTGACAACCCACAGAGCCAGAAGACAATGGAGGATCTTTTCCATATGGATAAGTTGGAATCTGCATTTGGTGGAAAAAATTCATGTGGTTTTGACTATCAAGCTTTTGCGCAAAGAATGAGGGAAGATGACAAGAAGATGTCTAGTTTTATTGACTCCGGTTGTTCGCCTTCAGTTATATCTGAGTTGCAGCAGTCAGATGCACTGGCTTCTGACCATTGTTCTGAGGTCTCTGATGAAGGTGGCTGCTCATCATGTGATGAAGCAGCTTCTTCGAACTTGGACGTTGTTGATGAGAAGATACAAGGCCAACCAATTGACAGCAAAGATGTTGCAAATGGCAACACAACATTACCTAAAGAAATGCAAATGAGTGAGCCTGCTTGAGCACTAGATTTTAGGATCTGGTTTATGATATTGGTCTCGCAAATTCTTAGCTTACACGATTTCACTTAATGCAATGAAGCGTTAGCAGAAATTTTCGGCTTCTTTTACCCTGTTGGTTTCAAAGTGAATACCAACTTCAAGTAATGCACCATTTAAGATATATATATATATATATATATATATATATCATTTTTATGGTACAGACATAAGCAGTTTGTGAATTCTAGAATGCTTTTCCCAGTGTTTAATATTTGTGGTTCTACTTCTTGTTTCCTGGCCTGTTTTCAATGTTAAATGTTTCTGTGGAGATTAGAGTTTTGGGAATGTGATACCCCAGAATCTCGCGTCGGAAAATACACTGGTAAGATCTTGGGAACTAATCAAAGTCGAGCTCTGTAGCTGTGGGTTCATGGGTGGCTTGCCTCATTTTTCCTTCTTCTTATGATACAGATGATAGAGTGGGAAATATTCAAAGAAAAGAGAGGAACGAATTTGCTGGCCGTTGATTGACTAGCTGTATAATAAGCCCAGGAGAAAGAAAACAAAATGTTCCCTTGGAGAGTTGCTCTATTGCACAAGAGTTTACAACACAACATGACAGAGCATGCCCCTTACCCAAAGGCAGCGTATTGCCATATTCTAATTCGGTAAAAAATTATTTTTTGTCCTTGCAGTTTACTGGTTTTACAATTTTGGTTCCTATAGTTTCAATTTTGGCAATTTTGGTTACTGAAATATACCCTTATCGTTTTAAATCCGAGCAATTCAAGGAACGTTACAAATTCTGTCAAATTCCTTCTAATTCAGTTACAAATTCTATCAACTCCCGCGCTCAAAACGTAGTGGAATTGATCGAATTTGTAACGTGTCTTTCAATTCTTTGGATTTAAAATTACATGGATAAAATTGAAAAAACTGAAACTATGGGAACAAAAGTGGTAAAATTGGCAAACAACATGGACTAACTGTGACTTTTTGCCTTCTAATTCTGTTATCAATTGAGCCCAAAAACTTGTATCTATTAAGACTTATTGCTTGAGAAGTTTGTTTGAGCTGAAGACAAAAGTTGTCTCTTCTCTGCAAGTGGTAGAGTGCAGGCGTCCAGCTGCCCAACCATTAATTCATTTCACGAACATCATCACTTCCCTCATTTTGTTGTTCAAGCTCAATAAAACCCCTTTGCCTTTTCTCCTATCTCAGTAAATTGAACCATAAACTTGGGAAGTGAAGGTAAATGGCGCCTTATAAATAGATAAACAAATGAAATATACCCTTTTACTATAACCATGAGTAACAACTTGTAAATCCATTGAATTTCTTTTGTTCTCCTTGTAATATCATAAGATAACCATTCTCACTCTTAACAAGTTTAAGAAAGGGATCCATTGAAGATGTTACGTTTGATGTCTTTGATTGTATTGTTGAAGTTTATTAAATGAAGTTTCTAGTTGATAAAAAATAAAGGAAGAATTACAATTTTGGTCACTGGGGTTAGGGTCTATTTTAATTTTGGTCACCGCACTTTCAATTTTCCGATTTTGGTCATCACATTTTGCATCGTCAGCAAATCAAGTCCAATTGGGGTATTTCGTCAGTTAAGACGAGTGTGGTGCATGCGTGCATGGGCATTATTGCCATTTTGCCCCAGCCCCTTAATCAAAACTCCATTCACTTGATTTCGAGCCCCAAAATAATTTTAGGGTTATGAGATTTTCCCCAAAAGGCTGGTCGATTTCGAGGGATTTGGGTTGATATCATCCAATTGATCAAGATTTGATAGGGTTAATCACGATTTGAAAGGGAATCATCAATTTTAGGTACTAATTCATCCATTTTGGGGATAATTTCTTGTCTGATTTGGTGATATGTGAGGGAAACATAAGCATCTCATGACTTGGAATGAATTTAGTCACAACATATAACACATAAACATTCATAATGGCAGATTGATTATGCTTATTCTAGTTGACTTAAGCCTTTTTCATTTTAAACCCAAGCATTTTATGACCTAGTCTCTTTGAGCACAAATGGAAAAAAAGGAAAAAAAAAGGTATGAGAGTTTACCCTTTATGACTACTTCTTGAACACCTTTGTAGGAAAATGTCTTCTTTTCTTCCTCTTCTCACAAGCTCCTCAACCCAAGACTCCAAGAGTGAAGTCATCTACCTCGCCACACCAAAATGGAATAGAAGAGAAATCAACCTAGAGAACTTAGGTGCTAGTCTTTCCCTAGGTTGGATTGGATTTTGGCTAAGAAATATGAGAGTGAGGATGTCTCTCCTACACATCAAAAACCCAAGAGCGAATGCCAAAAACCCTAACTTGAAAATGTCAAAGTGTGGCTTATATATATATCCAACAAGAAGATGAAGAGAAATTCCTAATAGGAATTTTCGGCCATGGTGTGTGTGGGGCTCATTTAACTTGTGTTGTTATACAACACATGTTCTTAGGCCTAATGGGTCCTTGGGCTATTTTGTCATTTGGCCCAAAATGCCTTTAAAGCCCAAATCAAGACCAACCATCAAACTAACTTCACAATTAACATTTTAATTATGATTTCTGACTTGACCATTAAGTCATATCCTTAGTCCGAATAGTTTGACTTGGTCAATTGTTTTGGCCAAATATGTTGACTTGGACTTTGACCGTTGACTTTCAACGTTTTATTTTCCTCTTTTGGTTTTCAAGTTTCTTTTCTATTCATTTGTTTCTTTAATCACATTTCTTCATGTGTGATCCATAGATTCCATTTAGCAAGGTAGTGGGTAGACTCAACTTCTCTGAATTGACTTGTGAATTGAATTTTACTATTTAATTCTTCCTATTAGTGAAAGTCAATTATGATTGAGCCTTTTTGGACAAATCATGGTTGATGCCTAGCAGTATGTTATGGTTATCCAAGCTAAATAGAGTGTAGAGAAGAACATATTCAAATTGGAATGACCGTGCAATTGAATCATTCTCTTGTACAATACTCCTTATTCACATTATTAGATAATGGAATATAATGTCAAATATCCTAATGTGAATTATTCCTTTATATGATTATCCTGGTAAGATTTAAAGACATTTTCTTTCAAATATTATCCACTACTCTACGCAGAGATTTGATCAATCATATCCTTGGAGTATTCTCTCTCTTTACTGAGAGTAGAGGTTGTATATTCACTTGCCTTCATGACTTTATTGAGAGTCCTGATAAATACTTTTAGGTCATGTCTCCTACAACACAACTGTATAGTGCTCTCAAAGGCAAATAACATAGCCACAAGGCATTTATGATGTCTCAGGTTTAGGGATTAGCTTGCACCATTGCAATCTACGAGTTTTAGTTTGACATGCGAGTAAAAACTTCCATTCTAGAACTCATGCATAAGATCGCATTCAGTGTACTTGTTCTCCTGCAAGCACCTACACATATATCTAGGCGTCAATACACTCAATGACATGAGACCTCATCATCCTCAACATATAGTGAAGATATTGTGTGTACTGGTCTTAGAGGAATATCAACGCCCAATTGATACTCCTATGACTAGAAACATATTTAGCATTAAAGAACATGATAAGTCTCAATGTATACAATCTCATTACATAGTTCTCATGTCCACTTTTATATTCCTAGGACTATAGTTGTTTTACTGTTATGATAATAAACTAAATATCATAATTGAAAACAACTAGTCTTGCCCATGAATAACTTAATAAGTTACTACAAAACATGTCCTTAACATTAATTATTATATAATTAGTTGGCTTTAAGGACATACTACTAACAATATGTTGATTTCAGTTTCTAAATTTTCCAATTTCTTGTATTTTATTTTATTTTAGTTCTAGCTATGTTTCTTGTAATTTGCAAATGTTTACTTCAACTTCTCATGGATTGAGGTGCCCTTTATGTGAAGTTAAAATGAAAATACTTCTATCAACTACATAACAACATTACAACAGATATTTCTGGAAGTGTACAAGGAAATATGTAAGGCATGATTTTAAATCAGTTGTATTTTATGATATAGATGATGTGATAATACTTCTATCAACTACATAACAACATTACAACAGATATTTCTGGAAGTGTACAAGGAAATATGTAAGGCATGATTTTAAATCAGTTGTATTTTATGATATAGATGATGTGATTATGCAAAGTGGTTGTATGTGTTATAAAAATTGTTTTTTCCTCTTTCCGTAAAAACCAAAAGCAAAACCCTTTATAATATAAATAATATATAAAACAAATTGGAAAGTCTTTTAAGGTAAAGTAAAATTAAATAAACAAATAATAAGTAAATAAAAGTAAAATAAATTAAGATTATGAAAGCAAGCCTGGTATGGTGAAGCACGTCAAAGATGCTGTCCTAATGCCTTTGTAGCCTCTTTACGTGTAGTTACTGACGGTCTACAAGACTCCAAGATATGACCCCTAGTACACAGGCTCTTTGTGCATTTGCTTCCAACCATGGTTGCTCGGAAGGCTTTGGATGAACGATGAATGGAAGGAAACATATTCCTTAGATTTGAGAACAAAGCTTTGAGTATATTTCGAAGATCACAATGAAAGTACCAATTTTTTTGTACAAATAATCTCACGGGAGAATATTCGCGAAAGATTCATCCACCCTTTGAACTTCCTTCTTCTTCTTCTTCCTCACTCCATGTAAAATAGATTGGAGTCAACAGACCATACACGGGGAGTGTTGGCTAAAGGCCCTTCGATGCCTAAGTTAGTTAAATGATCTTCGGAAAAATGTGGAGATAATGGAAAGGTTGGAGTTTTCTCTCACGGGAAAAGCCAGGTGCCCGGAGCTGTGTGTGGTGGCATGTGGCCGTGAAGAAGAGAGAGGATAGGGTGGCCAAAGAGAGGGCAAAATTGCTAGGGTTTTGGAATTACCTCAAAGGTGGTGTATGCTAGCCTTTATATAGTCTCCTTGCTTGGCTAGGGTTTGTAGAATAATTCCATATTTAATTGGAATTATTCTTACCCAAAATAG